TATTGTTTACCAAAAAATTTGCGCCACATTTATGAGGTCTATTTGAAACATTTGATTCCTATTCGTTATTTAAAGACAAATTTTTACAGTAAGACTCATCAAATAAGTTCGATAAAAAAGTGTTTCTTCTAAAAATAAGTTTTTGCCATAACTATTTATTTCCTTTTAAAGTTTATACCCTTTCTCTCCATCTTCCTGAACTTTTATTGTATTATTACGTTTGAATAAATTCCTGTATGATTCACGAAATTAAGCTTATAACTCTATTGGGTCAGACTATCAATACGTAATAATGTTATGTTTTCCTCAGTGTAGCGGCTTCTGACTCTTATGCATGTAAACTTTAAGCCATACAATGTGTATTTAAAACATTTCTGAAATTTTCTTTTTTTTTCTTTTTTGTGTTTTACCAGACTAATTAACTCGGATACATTAGTCAATAATAAGATTTACATTAAAAAAAAATCATACGATATTAATGACTCTATGCAAAACCAACTTACATCAAAACCAACTTACGATCTAGAAAAAAAAATATCTTAATACTTGCATCCGTATTTAACTTATGGCATTGGTTCCAGCGAAACTATCTTGTCCATTGCTTTCGCTTTTTCTTGAAAATTAAATCATTCTCCTCGAAGCTCGCAACATAACTTGGATATTGGGAACCAGGCACAGAATGGTATTAAACGGGATACTAATTTTATTTAGTGTAATGGAGTCTACAAACAGATAAAAAGAATTAACTGAATAAATGAACGGTTATTCATCGTGTATATATACTATACAGCCATGAGAGTGGAAACAAATAAAACTAAAACAACTGGTTATTTGATTTCGAACGAAACTAAAGCACTTTTCTTTTTCTTGGTGCCATATCCTCCTGGCAAATTCGAGATAATTGAAGACTTCTTTTGAGAAGGAAATTGAAATGGAATTGTTATTTTTCTTCCTTTTGTAACTTCGATCTTTTACTTTTAATGACAGTGTTTCCTTTTTCGAAGTCCATGGTGCTCGGAAGCAATCAATGTTCTCCAATTTTATTTACTTTACGTACTCTAAACTTTGAAATCGTGAACAGAGAAGTTAAATATCATTAGTGGAATCAAAAAGTATTTATGATATCGCTTTATACTCAGAAGATCGTAAATCCAGAACAATATTACCCATTAAGCTGCATGTAAAGGTAATAAAAAATCATCCGACGAGGCGATAACACTTGCCTTAAGAAATGTTTTATATTAAAAATTCCTATCGGTTTATTTTTAGTGGATATTATACTGGTAATATAAATTCTGATAAAGTCACTATACTGTATGATAATCACATTTTCGTTAATTAAAATCCGTAATTCTGGTTAATGAACTAAAATATACGGTAAGCCAATCATTAACGGTATTTAACTGTTACAATGTAACCTTCTGTAGGTTCATCTGCAGCCTAAATGAATAATTCAAAAGAAAAAAAACATTAAGCAGGAAGAAACAAATTCTTGTATAATTACTGCATTTTGCGGTGATAACATTTCTAATAAAAAATAATTGAAAAAAACTATAATTACGTTATGTAACTGGTTAATAAAATCAAAATACATTGTATTTGAACCATTAACTTGTATTTTTTTTGTTCCTGTTGAAACGATTTAACTGAAATTCTGGTTTTCAAAATTATAATTCTTATTGACACGTTGGAACTGAAGAGTAAATTTAACCAAATAAATGGTTTTTATGTCATGCTCTTTGATAACATGATAAAATTACCAAATTTTGCCGCAGAATGTAAAACTATACTTTATTGTTAATTTTACTAAAATCAATACCAAAGCACTTCGTTAAAAATCAACAAGCTTTTCGCATTCCCACACGATAAATTTTATCATGTTCTGTTAGTTTTAACCATACTTTTTTTTCTCCGTACAAAAAGTGCTTTTTACATATCTCGATAATTGTGTTGTTAGTAGTAATTCTACTTTATCTTGTTTATTTGATTAATTAATGTTAATTTTATATACTGAAAAATTCAATATACGAAAAATTATGCTCAAGAAGTAATCAATAATTGAAAATGAAGAAAATTGGGTTAACTTTGACAATAAAATTAACTGAGTAATTACTCTTTTAAAACCTTATCGTCAAATGAATGTTTCCTCTTTTTTTCGCCTAATGAAAAAGCAGATAAGATCTATGTGAACAGAACGCAAAATGAAAATTAAACATAAGAATAACTTTCGATCCAATGATCTGATCTTAGCGCACTAACATGCTGTTTTAATGGGTCGAGGGTTGAGTCTGTTAATTAATTTTTGCTCAAATTCTAAGTTACAAAATAGCACACAAAACATTATTTCTCTGCATTGAAATAGATTTTTTTTTCCAGATTCGAATTCTGGATTTCCAAAATGGGGCGGAATATGCTATATTGAAAATACGGTTAAAAATACGGTTTACGTCAGGAGAATAGTTTGAATCATTTAAAATTAATTTCACGGCTTTCTGATTTCGCTTCAGTTCCGTATATTTACATGCTAATCCAAAATATTGCAAATATTGGTTATTTTGAAAACATTGTTGCCTAGTTCGTAGCTTTTAGCAGTGCTACGAGTTGATGGAAATTTTAAATAATTTCGAAACTTAATGTGAATAAATATCTTAGTTCGCTATACAGAACGCAACTTTTTTTTAAATTTATTTTTTAAAATTGTACGTCCTCCTTAAAACATCTTCGAATTTATTGGTTAGAATTTTGTGTTAAAGTAATCGTAATTTTACATTTCACAAACACGTTTACAAAATTAATTTTTTACTTTATCGATATGGCTTGATTTCTTTTTTTCGAACAGAAAAATGATATTAATAAATATCTTAGCAACATAGAATAATTAAGAAGCTCATGCACAAAATTTAAAACTTTTATTTGTAATTCCAAACTTATGCCTGAATATTTTTATTCCCTCTAATGATATCGACTTCTTTTAAAAGCTAACTCAGCATTTTAATTTCTAAACGCTTCAAAGTATTTTGTTAGCCGTTGAAGTTATTTTGAAAATAGTTTTTTAATTAAAAATTCTTTCCAATCGATTTTACACTGTATTAATTAAGTTAATATGTATCGAGCATTTAGATCATTTATTTTATTTCAGGGCCTAATTATTCCACATGGGAAACGATGAACTGTGATAACTTTCATCGTTGAACTATTTAAACTTCTTATACGGTTTCAACGAAAAAAACACTACTGCTGTGGTTGACATTTATCCGCGCATGAAATGAAAAATTACGGTCTTTAACTTAGAATTCGATTTCAAGATAGCAACTTTCGCTGTTATACATTAAAAGTAAATCGAATTTCTTGAATAATGAGCTAAAATAAATCAGCTGTAACAAATTATCTCCGATTCGAAATTTGGAAGAAGAAAAATAAAGAATTTCGGAAGAAAAGAAAAAATAAAAGGGTACAGAAAAATCTTTAATTCGATTGGTTATTTTAGAATCACTTCTGCAAGATTTATGCAATTGTGGAATATTAATTTTGAATAAGTAGCTGGTAGGAACACATTGAATTATTTTTCTTTAAAAAGTGAAAATATATATTGGATAAACGAAAATCCTTTATCGTTCTTGAAAATATATATTTCATAAGTGCGACATATTTTCTGTAAAACTATAGTTTTAAAACTAGTTACAAATTAGTTATACAAAGTGCAGTTATGTATTAAACTAATGTATTAGTTGTACAAAGTACAAACCAGCCTAAATAACTTTTGTTTTAATGATTGTGCCTTCACATTCTAGGACTCAATCTTTGTAGCTTGATGTGTTGACCTTAAATATGCTAACTAATAAATGCAGACGATATTTTGAGTTACAGAATCAGACACAAAACGTACTGACTCCGAATGAACATACCTTTTTTTGATGAGTTATGATTTCTGACCTTAAAAATATAGGGAGTAGCCTTATCTGGGAAATATGGTCTCCGCAGTTTAGTCAGGAGAGCGGTCCAAAGTTTGAACCCCTTAAAGTTAATTTTATTTTTGCGTATTTTGACATATCTCGAACTTTTTAACTGAATTGAAAAAATTTGACCACAGTTATAAAATTTTTAGTGAATATTCACCGCTTTTTTAATATTTTATTTAGTAATGGTCGAAAATATTTTGAATTGTAAGGTATATATATTTTGCATCATTTTAAAGAATGTAATTTAGCAAGACAAATAACAACTCTTGAGCAAAATTGGTCGAATAGTTCCTGAGAAATCAAATTTTAAAAATACGGTTTCTTTAAAATTTAATTTCTCAAGAATTAATTGAGTGATGATTTATCTAATTTCTATATTAATGATAGTCATGCATGCGCAAATTGTTTAGAATTATACTGTATGCGATGCTCTAGTTATTTATTTTTTAAAAAAATTATATTTAGTATCTACTACATGTGGACATTTTATTATGACATCCTATAATAAGTTTATTCACGTAACTTATTGCATCATAGTTTTGTTAGAGGGCCAGTTTAATGATGACATTTAGAATTCTTTTTCTCTATAGCCTGACTACAATACTATAGTTAAAAATTGTCATAACTACAAAGAATACATTAAATAGAAAAATGCTGCGTCCTACCATACAGCTGGGATTGAAAATGTATATGTTTGCAGAACTTAGTGATGATTTGCCTTTGTTGCGTTTACTCTGAAACTTCCCAGATCGTAATCCCCCTATCGTATATCGAGCGGTATATTTTAAGGAATAAAAATTTCGATGCCCTGGAGTCCTCTTTTGCAATTTTTTCTTAAACCTTATTCTACCGGTAAACGTTTGCGATTTATTAAATTGAAAAATCCGGCTCCAGAGTTAATAAAATCAATCCAAAAATTAGTTGATGCAGGTCTGGCAAATTCTTTCTTGATTTAGAGGTATTCTGAATACTCCCATTTAATCCTCCCCACACGATTACAATTCATCCAAAAAATAAAGTTTTGTTTATTTCTTCTCTCAGGCGATCATCGAGCTTTGTTCAAGCAAGCCATGCGACACTGGGAGAACTACACGTGTGTTCAGTTCGTCGAGAAGGAGGACCATCCAAACTACATAGTTTTCACGGAAAGGCCCTGCGGGTAAGTGTTTGAATTCCCTTATTTTTTTCCCCACTTTCCTTACTGGCGACATTATTTTTTTTCTTCGCCAAATAAAGAGTAAGTTCCATACACTTCAACCTAACAAGCCAGAAATCGATCTAGTTGCAACTTTTTCAGTTCCTTTTTTTTTCTCATCTCTTTCCTATTGAGTTGTTGCAAAAGAAAAGTTCCGGAGAACTGTTTTTTTTCTTCTTTTTAATCTATCATGTGTCATTACTTTGGAACTTGTAGGGAATAGGAATACATACCTCGAAGTCGATGGACGTTACGTCCAATGAAGTTTTTTATTTGTTTTTGATCGAGACAGGCTTTAATTAAATGTGAAAAGAGACGGATTGACTTGACGTCTTATGCGACAGAATGGGTGAAACAAATAATAAAAAACAATAATACTCTAATAACCATTCAGCAAACATTACATTGCTGAATGGTTACAAGAAGTAATACATATTTCGTTGCTGATGAGATTTTTGTAGAAACGGCTTTATCCTTTTTATATAGTTAATTTTTCAATTTATTACATAAAATGAAAATTTTTAACTGCCTAAAAGCTGAAAAAAATATTTGCGTTCCCATTCCAAAATTTTGATTTTTTTTTTCGCAATGAGAGTTTATTTAGATTTTCTGTAGTTCTTTATTTTGGTTTGTCTATAGCGTTTCATTATCCTTGATTGAGAACTTAGGCAATACGAATGCATATGAATGCATAGTAGTAAGAACAAATCTGCGAAAGTGATTGAAGTCAAAATGAACGAGAGTTATAAAACACAAAAATTATATAAAAATTTCAAGGCATCTTAACTTTTAATGAAAAAATAGCCATTCCTCATCTAAGAAAATTAACTAAAATATCTAAAAAATAGCCATTCCTCATCTAATAAATTAACTAAATAGCCATTCCTCAAATAAATAATTCCTTAAAAAACAGCCATAATTTATTAGATGATGAGATCATAATTTATTTGATGAGGAATTAATTTATTAAAAAGTTAATTTATTAGATGAGGAATGGTTATTTTTTATATTTTTTAGTTAATTTATTAGATGAGGAATAGCTATTTTTTAGATATTTTAGTTAATTTATTCGATGAAGAATGGCTATTTTTCTAGTTTTCCAATAAATTAACTAAAAAATTTAAAAAATAGCCATTTCTCATCTAATAAATTAACTAAATAGCCATTCCTCAAATAAATAATTCCTTAAAAAAAAGCCATTCCTCATCTATTAATTTATTAGATGAGGAGATCATAATTTATTAGATGAGGAATTAATTTATTAGATGAGAAATGGCTATTTTTTAGATTTTTAGTTAATTTATTAGATGAGGAATGGCTATTTTCTAAGGAAATTTTTTCAAATGGACAGTTTAACATAAGAACCGCAATGGCTCAGGGGATTGAGCTTTCGCCTTCCAATGAGGCATACCGGGTTCGAATCCCAATCGATACGAATTCCGCATCCGACTTACAATGATCACAGTGCTGACGTGAAATGTCCTCAGTGGTTGACGGATCATGGGTTAAAGTCACCTTGCCGTCAGGCTAACCGTGGGAGGTTCTCGTGGTCTTCCTCTCCATGTAACGCAAAGCTGGGTTAGCTCCATCAAAAAAGTCCTCCACAAAGGCAAATTTCTCCCAATACTTGATCCAGGAGTTCCCTTGTCTTCTGGATTGGGTTCAAAATTACAGGGCTACGGAGTTGAACTTTAGTAGTCATAAACCCAAAAATTGGGTCGGCTGTTCAACGGCGGATATAAAATAAAATTTACACATAAGACTGACACAAGGAAAACTCATTACAACCTGCGTAAATTTTGTATATGAAACGAAAACTTATTTCTCAGTTTTATACGAAGTAAAGAACACTCTCGTGTTCTAAAAATAAACAACGCCATCGATGTTAATCAGTGAGTGCTTATGCGATCCTACAATTATTATTACTCGACGCCATGAGTGCCCAGATCTCAACTTGAGCTCTACACAGAGTGAGAATACAAGGTAAAAAAATTTGCTCACTCCTACAAGTAGAATTTATCACTCTTTAAAATAAAATTTATCACCGATTTAAATAGTAACCGCTTTCTAATTTAAAAATAAATCAAAATAATAAATGTTATTAAAAATCACGATTGTCTAGTCAGAAAATGAAAATAATTTTCGTCAAAACTGAAAAATATGTGGGGGGGGGGGCATCACTTTCGCAACTAACTTCTATCACCACCTAAATTTCCCGCCAGTTTTTTGAAATTGATACCCCTTTTTTTTCATTATTCATGACAAAAATAAAACTATTTCTTCTTCAAATAAAATTTTCTCCATTTGATAGTGTCGTATATAAAAAAAAAAAAAACTTATTTTAATAATTATTTTCGTTCAGACATTTTTCATGATATTCTTTTTCAACGTAGAATAAGCAACACAAAAGAAATTATTTTAATGAGGGAAACGATAACATTTTAAAAGTATTTTTCCATTAAGAAACATCATTAATCAAAATTATAAATTCTTTGATAACGAGGAAAATACTTTTTTTCCAATTTTTTTATTTACCATTCACATTTGTGCACTTCAACTCTCCATTATTATAATAAAAAGAACTAACTCCCATTATTTTCACAGCATTATTCGTTTAAATCAGATAAAAAATAACACCAATGGTACATTAAACGCCATCTCTTTGCAGCGCTTTTATCATTAAAATGTTTGATAAATAAATCAACTATCTTGAGTTTTCTAAATAATAGTTTCTTTAAACTTTTAAGGGGGAAAATATGCTTTACGGAAAATTAAGCAAGCGATATTGTTCGCTTTATACAATGTTTCGAATAAGTTATGCAGAATATATAAATTTCAACAATGAGGCCATTACCAGACTATGATGTTTAGCAAGCTTTAAAGTACATCGACTGAAAAACTTTTAAAAATTCTTTCGGTAACATCGCGATAAGACTTAATAGTGAATTTATTTCTTACTAAATGGAAAATCTGTTGCTGAAAATAAGGTTATCTTACAACCATTTCATTTTTTAAACGAGTTGAACAGTGTTAGATCGAGAAAATAAATTTGCAAACATGTTATTGTTCATGTCAAAAGCAATGAAATTATTTTAAATGTTGGTGGATTTTATTTTTATAAGGTTTTGAAAAAATCGAAATAAAAGTTCAACCAAGATCTTCTGCTTTTTTAAAAAAAAATTTATTACATATAAACAGTGCACAAAATACAAGGAACTCATAATAACTTTTGATCCAGTGATCGGATTTTCACCTATTAGAACTCAATCTTAATGGCTCATGACAATAAATACACTGATTAATTTGTACAGTTGATATTTTTACAAAATCAGATACAAAAATGTACTCTCTCTGAATGAACAAAAATTGTTTTTAATGAATTTGGAATCTTGATCCTCAAAATTCGAAGGATGGCCACAATCCGGAAAATATAGCCTCTGTAGTTTAGTTAGGGGAGCTGACAAAAGTTCTTTCCTTTGTTTTTTTAACTCTTAAACTAATGAATCGAAAAGTTTTTTTCACGAAATTAATTTATGAAACTTGTTTATTCTGAGATTTATTCCATGTAAAAATTATTTTTTATGATTATTAATTGTTTGTATTTTATTTTACTAATGTTTAAAAACTTTTGAATTTCAATTTAAACACCAAATACAGATAACAAAATCCATAAGTTGAAGGCAATCGGTCTAATTGTTCTTGAGAAATAAAAATTTCGAAATACGACTTTCTTCAGATGATGAAATTTTGATGATAAAATCTGAGAAATTAAGGCCATTATGGGGTTAAAATTTTCAATCGCTATCCTAATAAAACGGTGTCATCAATATTTTTCAAATTGCTGCATCCTTCCAAGTTCATAAATTCAAGTCAGTCAAAATACCGGTATTCAAAGATTCTAATTTCGTGAATTCAAATATTGACTTCACAAATTATTTGGCATTGTTAAGATTTGGGGAGACAGGGGATGAAATTACTTAAAAAATATTGGTTTTATTCATGTCAAGAAGCATTTTGAAAACTATATACACTATCTTACCGAAAGTATGCGGACACCTAACGGTATGAACTTAGATCATCCCTAGGCACATATTAAGATGATGTTGGTCCCCTTTTTGCATCGATGACAGTCTGCACACGTCTGGGAAGACTTTCCTCCAGTTTTTGATAGGTGGCCATAGGAACTGACTTCCAGGACTCCATCGCAGCTGAAGATAGTGCTTGCAGTGAGGATGGTCGATGTGGCTGACTACGTAATCTGTGCTCTAATTCGCCCCAAAGGTGTTCTATGGGATTTAGATCGGGCCTCTGGAAAGGCCTGTCCAGTTTTTGAACACCCATTTCGTCTGTATAAGCCTCGATGCGTGAATAGAGCAGTTATACTACTGGAAGAGAAATGGGCCTTCCCCGAAATATTGCCTTAGAGTTGAGAGTGCTGAATTGTCCAGAATGTCCACTTACATCTCAGAGGTCATGTTTTCAACCACAGGAACTAACGGACACAGGCCAAACCCCGAGAAACACCCCCACACCAGTATGCTTCTACCAACATAACAACCGGGTGTCCGAATACTTTTGGTCAGATAGTATATTAACAAGAGTGTGTCCGAATACTTTTGGTCAGATAGTATATTAACAAGCGTATGTCCGAATACTTTTGGTCAGATGGTATATTAGCAAGAATATGTCCGAATACTTTTGGTCAGAGAGTATATTAACAAGAGTGTGTCCGAATACTTTTGATCAGATAGTATATTAACACGAGTGTGTCCGAATACTTTTGGTCAGATAGTATATTAACAAGAGTGTGTCCAAATACATTTGGTCAGATGGTATATTAGCAAGAGTATGTCCGAATACTTTTGGTCAGAGAGTATATTAACCAGAGTGTGTCCGAATACTTTTGGTCAGATAGTATATTAACAGGAGTGTGTCCGAATACTTTCGGTCGGATAGTATATTAACAAGAATATGTCCGAATACTTTTAGTCAGATGGTATATTAGCAAGAGTATGTCCGAATACTTTTGGTTAGAGAGTATATTAACAAGAGTGTGTCCGAATACTTTTGGTCAGATAGTATACTAACAAGAGTGCTAAAGAAAATTCCATAAAATAAAACTAGCCATGTCTAAATATATTTAACTGTTCAAAATCTTTCATATTTCCCCAAGTATTTAAAATAAAATAATTTTTTTATCATAATTTATTTTCGATACAGAAACGTTTCTAACAATTTCCCTTATGACATTAATGAAATAACAGGAAAATGAAGCATAAAAACTAAATCATAACAAATTCAAAACACTGAACAAACTAACACTAGTAATAAGGTGAAAACAAGCAAACATTTAGCAAAAAATTGAACGTCTGAAAATACATAAATGCAAAGCCATAAAAAAATTTTATTTTCGTATAAAAATTATAAAATGTCATGCATTGTTTTTCTTTAAAGAAATGGTAAACTATTTTTTATTAAACTTCAAAATGTAAATACAAAGATACATAAAAATTATTTTTCTGCTGAATCGAAAAACGTAAAGAATTTTTTTCCCAATAATCAAGGTACTAAGCTAACATATAAACTAGTGAATGAAGAATTTTGCTATATAATATGAAAATAAAATTTTAATTTAATTCTAATCTGAATTTAAAGGTTTTTTTACACCTTCTCATTCCATTTTTAATGAAGGTTCAAACCATGTATGTGAACCCATCGAACAAAGTGAACTCATATAATTGAAAATGTTAATTAAAATAAAACACTACGTAATCTCTCAAACCTGGTTAATCAGTTTTGACTGCTAAAATCTGACACGTAACACTCTTGGAACACGAGTAATCGAAACTTAAAAATTATTCATCATCGTGTGAGATAAATATTTAATTAAGGACGTAGTGATCAAATGTGGGGCATTAAGAATTTACATCATTAACTCACATAAACTCAAAAGCCTCCCTCCTAATCACTCCAAGTTTCTTATCAAAACTTCTCTGGAAGAGCCGACGATGATTAAAATTAATGACTAAGAAGCAAATTAATCTTAACTAATGAATGATTATAGACGGTGAAGGCAGTGAAACGGGAAGGAGTAATAATAAAAAGACACTCTCATTCCCTGGATATTTATGGGAGATTTTAGAAGAAGATTGGAAAATAGTTATTGTTTTACTTCAATATCTTATTTGAATCAGAAAAGAAAAGTGAAAGGGAAATTGATTTTAATAGATTTAATTATGAACGATGAAGAGTCTTAATAGCTACTTTAGAATGCAAAAGATATAATTATATTTGAAATTTTATTTTCTCCCCCTGTTAGCATAATTCCTTATCATGAGTTATCGCAAAACAATGACTAACACAAAACGAAGAGAAACTCCTGAACAAATTAAACAATAATATCCGATTTATGATAGGTGATAGTAGTATATTTGATAGTTTTCTGTTTTAAATACCTTATCTTTTAAGAGGTCTTGTAAATTCTTGTGTTAATCCAATATTTTCTTATTATTAACATATTATATTGATATTTGTTACATTTTTCGACCTAACTAAATGCAAAAAGCTAATTTAAAAAGTAGATAAATTTTTAGTGTTTCAAGAAATACCAAAATATAATCTTTTTTTCACAAAAATATATTTGTGCATCTTGTGAAATTACTAATGGACTCAAATGTAATAGGTTGTACCGGATAGCTTCCGAAAATTGTCTGGTAAATATGGAATCTCGGAAATAAGGTCTAAACAGTGTTTGAACCAAGCAATCAAAAATTTGAACCCCCTCAATGTTTATTTGCCATTTTGCATATTTCACCATCTAAAAGAAACATTTTTAAATTTTTATTTCGCCAGAACTTTTCAACCGATTGCTTTCAAATTAACGGGTTTCGCCATCTAAAAGAAACACTTTTAAATTTTCATTTCGCAAGAACTTTTCAACCAATTCCTTTCAAATTTACGGATTTCGCCATCTAAAAGAAACATTTTTAAATTNTCGGTTTTATTGATACATACGTACGTATTAGCGTTTTATATAATATAGAAGATATCGGATTTATGGTAGGTGATAGTAGTATATTTGGTAGTTTATTGTTTTGAGCACTATATCGTTTAAAAAGTCTTGAAAATTCTTGCGTCAATCCAATATTTTCTTATTATTAACATATTATATTGAGCATTGTTACATTTTTCTATCTAACTAAATGTAAAAAGCTGATTTTGAAATTCGATACATTTATAATGTTTCAAGAAGCACCAGAAAATGATTTTTTTTCCACAAAAAAATATTTGTGCTTCTTGCAAGGTTACTAATAGACTCAAATGTAATAGGTTGTACCGGATAGATTCCGGAAATTGTCTGGTAAATATGGAATCTGATAAATAAGGTTCAAACATTGTTTGAACCGAACAATTGAAAATTTGGACCCCTCTTACTTTTGCATATTTCACTATTTAAAAATCATTTTTAAATTTTTATTTCACCAGAAATTTTCAGACGATTCCTTTCAAATTTACGGATTTTGCCATTTGAAAGTAACATTTTTAAATTTTTATTTCCCAAGAAATTTTCAACCAGTTCCTTTCAAATTTACGGATTTTGGCATCTAAGAGAAATATTTTTAAATTTTATTCGGTCAGATATTTTCAACTAATTTCTTTCAAATTTACGGATTTCGGCATCTAAAACTACGTGGATTATTTCAGCATCTATAACTACGCAGATTATTTCGACATCTAAAGCTATGTAGATTATTTCGTCATCTAAAACTGCGTTGATTATTTTGTCATCTAAAACTGCATAGATTGTTTTGTCATCTAAAACTGCGTCGATTGTTTTTTCATCTAAAACTACGTAGATTATTTCCCCCAAAAAACTGCGTATATTAAATTGATGAAAAATTCGTATACCATTAATTTCGGAGATATGGTGAATTATTAAGGTCTTCAAATTTTCGACTGCGTCTCTTTTTTTTTTTTGAGTTTTGCGGACAATATTTCCCAGAATACGTCTACCTCCCATAATTTGAGGGTTAAAAATCCAATTAGTCAAAGAAAGATATCAGTGAAAGTAAGTTGAGTCTGGTTTTATAATTTATAACATTGTCTGTTTTAGTTATTATTAGCATGTTTAAGGTAAGGCTCTCAAACCATTAAGACTGAATCCTAATACGGGGTCCACTGTTAAAAGCAGTTTATGTCTGTTATGCCGGACTTCTAAATTGATCCATGCTGAAGCCTTCTCTCTTCTAGAATGTGTTTCTTCAGGCCAAACTCCTCACAACAAAATGATCTATTTACCAGAATAGTTCTGTTTTATTTTAATTTTCACATGGCTGCTATAAGAGAAAGCTATGCAGCGTGAAGAATCTTTCATGGCACATTCTCTTTCTACTATATTGGTAATTTCAAATTTAAAGTATAAAAAAAATGAATTTAAATAAATTAAAAGAACTGTAAAGTTTTAAACGCTGATTTAATTTTTTTTTTCAAAATATCAATTAGGTTCTGTGAGTTTGCAACAGCTGTAGAGTCAAGTATAGCCTATCTAAAGCTAGCTCTGTCTAAGCTTATTTTGAAAAAGTCGCAATGTGAGGAAAAGCCACAGTTTTGTGCAAATGAAAAGCGTTTGTGGTCTATTTTTTTTAATATTTCAAAACTTACTCCAATGCTACATTACCTGGGCTCATAAGAATTTGCAAAAACTGAGAATACGCAGTGATTTTGATAATTTTCATCTAGGTGGAAAAATGTCACCAAATTGGCGATTTTTAAAAAAGCTTAATAATCTTTAAAACATTTCAGTTATTTGTCTATTCTAAAGCCCAGATAATTCCTCACGGCAAGATTATATTTATAGTCTAATATCATTGCATTGCTTCAAGTGCAAGGCACTTAAACTATTTCTTTTATTTTCCTTGGTGACAGAGCTTCGAAAAACAGTGCTAAGGTCGAACTGTTAAAATCGAGTCCTGCTAGTACGAGATAATCCGGTTGTTAGATCAAAAGTTATCCATGGTTTAATTTTTTTATTTTGCTACTGTACATATTTTTTGTCATAACTAAACTGATTAATTATGTAAGTAAGTACTGTAATAATTCTGTTATTGTTTCAGTTGCTGTTCCTTCGTGGGGAAGCGCGGTAACGGACCTCAGGCAATCTCCATCGGGAAGAACTGCGATAAGTTTGGCATTGTGGTGCACGAACTTGGACATGTGGTGGGCTTTTGGCACGAGCACACGAGACCGGACAGAGACAAGCATGTACAGATCATCAACAAGAATATCATGACCGGTGAGGTCAACACGCTTCTCCCTCGTCTCTCTCCCTCTCTCTCTCTTTCAATACTTTTACAAGAAATTTATGTAAACTGAAAAACATTCTTTTTTCATCCTCATCTTATGTGAATTTTTAACATTTTTTCTTAAATTCATTTAATAATTCTCAAAAACGATCAAATAGTTTTTTTTTTTTTTTTTTTTTTTTTTTTTTTTTTTTTTTNTTTTTTTTTTTTTTTTTTTGACAAAAAGATGCACTATTAGTTTTTAATGGGTTTCTCCAAATTTAATGGACTTTTTCTGTAGATTTCGGACAGACTATTTGTTATTCGTATTTCACTCTGCTCAATTTAAATCATAAAAAAGAAAGTATCAACTTTTTTTTTGCATCTGATAGTTCTAGGACTACCAGGGATACTAACAATTACAAAATTTGTTTCGGGTTATGGTTTTTTTTCCCTTATTTAAAGCGTCGTTTGAAAAGTTGCTCCGCTAAAATAGTTTTGGTTCAATTCAAAAGTTCGTAAACTATTTTAATCTTTTGTGGAAGTTGCTTGTGAACTTTATGATTCAATGCTTAGTAATTTAAACTGAACCCTCTTCTATGAAATAGTTTATAGTTTATCGTGAAATTGTCTTAAAAACATACGAAATTCAAGCTAACTTTCATAGTTTGTTTGCTTTGTCAATGATTTTGAGCTCCTAAGTTTATAATGATTTACAAATGGTCTAGCTAAGCAATGGCTTTGTCTGAGCAATTGCTTACAAAATTTTCTACCCGTTTTTCATACCTGTTCAGTTTTAATGAATGATACTGTTCCAGTTTCGCATATAGTACTCCATGTACCAGTAACTATGCGAGATTACTGTAAAAAGTATGAAAAGAAATAGAAAAAAGAAACCTCATTAATTTTTTAAAGGTTAAAAAATTTTTAATTCGATTTATAAATGTAATATGTATTTAACCATGGAATTAATACATTGAAAAAGGAATAGAAAAGAGCCAAAGTTTTATATAAAAAAATCATTTAAAAACATGTAACTTTGTTGCAAATAATATTTTTTTAGTTAATATTGAACTTGGCATACACAATGCAGTGGATATGTAATTAATTTTTAAATTTAAAAAAAAGGATTAATGAGACTGCTTAAGACAAAAAATTGGGATACTACCGTTTCTCTTTGCATATTCTGATCAGCTTCATCTCTCCCTAAACATTCATATCAAGATTATGCATGTGTAATCTATTGCTTGCAATTAAAATACCAAACCTACGGCAGAAATAATTTTAATTGAACGCGCATTTTGGAAATTGGAAATAACATTGATCCTTAAAATTAAATGATATACGAAATGTATTTCCATTATAATAACGCGAAATGTGCTCATAATAATCCAATAAATTTATACTTGGTCATAATAAAAAAATAAAATATCACTTAATTTTTATTTTAAATCCTTTTTTTCTTCCCAAAACACTATTTATCTCATCTGACACATCGGACAAAATGAGAACTTCTCCCCAAAAATATCCTTATTTTCTCTTTTAAGTTCTTAAGATGAGGTCGATATTAAATCTTATTTGATGGCATCCCTTTTTGAGTCATATCGAATTTTTTACCCTTTCCTTTCTATCATCGAAAAATACTTCACTGCTTTTAACACGCGGAATCGATATGCATAATGTTTCTGAATTTCTTGGAAACACAAACTTTTACTGGATTATTGTCTCAAACGCAAAGTAAGTCAGTCTTTCATTTTTGCCCACTCCAAAATAACTGCATTGTGGCTTTGCATATACCACTAGATTGTACCACTATATTTCTTAGTGTATACCACTATATTTCACTATGTTTCAATAACACAATAAAGTATAAATAACTATCTACCTTTTCATAACGATAATAATTACGCATATTTATTTCTAATTAAAAAATCTATATACATTGACTGATTGTAAAATATTATCAAATTTTTAAATGCATATGAAGTATCTATTTTTTTTTTTTTTTGCAAGTTCTTATATTCTTTGAGTTTTTAAGGCTAACCTCCGAAACTATAGTTGATATTTAAACTATATTAATAAACTGGATATTGGATTCTCATTTCATTTAGTTTATTTTTTAATTTTTAATGAAAATTAATTTTCAAATCTTCATTTGTTTGAATATTTAAATTTTTCTTACAAATTTTATCATTATTTAATTTAATTCTTTTTTTTTTAATCATTATTTAATATTTAAAAAGTAATGATTGAAAAACATGAAATAACTAAGCGTACAGAAACGTACATAAAGCCCTAACTAAAAATTAGTTTAAAGTAAGTCAGAAGATAACATTTAATGCAAAAAAGGTTAAAAATAATACTTAGTATTACTTAGAATAAATTTCTTTATTTCTAAGTAATCTAACTTTTATTAAAATTTTATTTTACTAGCTTGTTTTGTAATGCATCTTATTAAATATGAATTTTAGAATTGCAAAGATGCGAGTTAATAAACAATTAAGATTAATCTAATATGTAAATTAATTTTTTTTATTTTTCTTTGAATTATTGAAACATATGATTTTATTTTACATTTCAATCCCAAATTTAATTCCATATTTTAATTCAATTTTTTTTCGCAGTTATTAATAATTTTTCTTATCGATTGATCATTTTATTTATTATTTCTAATACAAAAAACGCTAAATATGTCTTCTTACCTGTCTTTTTATTTTCATCCTCTTTCTCTTGATTACTTATTTATATGTAAATAATAAATTAGTAAAAAAAAAATACTATATTTTGTCGACAATTCGTTTTTGCCTGCTGTGATGATGATTAATGAAGTTAAAACTAATGAGGTGTATTAATATTTAAGCCAGCGTTTTTTTTTCTTCCTTTTTTTAAAAAATGCTTTTGTAAAATGAGTTATCGCTTCTCAGTTCCAGTTTATAAAAAGTTATTATAAAATTATTTAACTAATATTTCTAATAGAATTGAAAAGCTTTGGGTAAGAAATAATAATTTTGATAAAATGACGAGTTTCCCTTTTACCTTTTCAGGAGAATATCCAAACGAAATATATAAACTATGAGATTTTAGCACAGTTCATAACCTAATTTATAATCAATAACATAGTTCAAATATTTCATCATCTATAGGGAATACATGAACTAAGAGGTCCTCCATTTCCTATATAGAATATATGAACGATATATAGAACTACACAGAACTACATGAAAATAAAATATTTCTGTACATTGTAAAATTATGTAGCAAAATTTCCTGACATTTGTGAAGTACGTCCCTAGATACAATACTATTGAACAGTTTGTTGTCAAAATGGCACTTTTAGATAAGGTGTGACTTAGCATTGTGTTGCCCCATGCCCTTTAAATACAATATCTTCTCAGTGTATCGCTGAATGAAAAATTTGAGAAAATTGTCATAGGTCTTATGCATTTTCTTTCGATACTATTTCTTTCTTATTCTTGTAGATTAAGATTACTTTATGAGTGTGGTCGAAAATGGCGGCCGTAAATCGGTATTTCTTTATCATCTCATTTAAAAGAATGACAACCAAACCCAATGAATCTGAATTATGAACTTCAAAACACGAAAAATCAGTTTTAAAAAAAAGTATTCCTGATGACGAAATATTGATCAATAATGCCGTCATTAAGACAACAGAAAAATCGGCATTTGAGATATTAAAATTCCAAGCCCCTTTTGCAAAATTGCTTTCCCTATTTACACTTTCTATTCTTTGCCATTTTTTTTTCATCTTCAGTTTATTATCTTGGTCTTCTAAATAACTTGTACATGTAGCTGAGAAAACATTTGCATATTAAAAGAAAAAGAAGGAAGAAATTAACACAGCAACGAGTTGTCTTTGTTTATTAATTAATTCTGAAGCTTATTCTAAATTATTTTCTGTATTTTTCTCGAAAAAATATATGCAAGAAACAAAATAATTAATTTTCAGATAGCAAAAGTTTTTTTGTAAAGTATAGCGTATTTATAAACTGATATTCACTAAAAAAAACCGGGTATTTCTTTTTGTAATCAGAGAAATATTTTTTGTAATCATGCTTGTGTTTTAATTAATATGGAGATTTCTTATTTAATATTTCACAAGCAATCTTGTTCTTTGTTGTTAGATTAGTAAATCTGACAGAAAGCATTGAGTTGAAGGCTTTTGGCGTTCGTTTAAGAAATTTTAAATTTTTCATGCAAGCTTATATAACCATAAAAAATGTCTTATTCCTTAAAAGATGAAAGTTTGTATTTAATTTTTCTGTGATAATAATATCAAACATTTATTTCTAATGCCTGTATTATTTTGAAAATTTTATTATTGCAAAAAAATATTAATTGGAATCAAATTATTTTTTAAAGAGGAAATATACAATTATTAAATTAAATTATAAATTAATAAAATTAATTAAAGAATTTTTCGGGTATATAAACTGGATATCCCAAACTGGATATCCCAAAAATCACCTAAAAGTAATTTTAATGGAAAATAAAGATAAAAAAAGATTTTATTAATTTATAATATACAATGTAGGTAATATATAGTATCGCATAAAAGGAAATAGGGAGTTTGTCTGCAATCTACATTCTGTTATTGAAATTTAAAATGACTGTTTTGCATTAGTGTGCTTAAATTTTATTGATACGATATTTAATTTTATGATGCAAAGCGTGGATGATTATAGTTTACTTAACATAAACCTTAAGCTTAAAAAAACTTTAAAAAAAAACCAGTCCTACGTCACATGAACTAGCTGGAAAATTTTGATAACCAAAACGGAAAATTACACCCAACCTAGGAATTGAGATGAAAATGAAAACGCGTTCTTTTCGTATATCACGCAAATTTTAATGAAACTGAACTATCGTCCTGGTTTCTGTCTTTTATTATATTGGTAATATTTTACAAAGCAGATAGTACAAACATCAAATTTTGCACGAATTTTATTTTTTCTTTTATTTGATAGAAGTATTTTATATAGGTAAAACGAAG